GTGAGAAAAAAAACTAGGAGACAGGCTGATCTTGGGGAGCTGTGGCCAGTGAAGCTTTCCTGGTATTCTATTTTCTCATTTGTAAAAGTATCCTGGTCTTGGGGAACTGTGGTCTTGGGGAGCTGTGGTCTCCCTGGTCTTGGGGAGCTGTGGCCAGTGAAGCTTTCCTGGTATTCTATTTTCTCATTTGTAAAATTATCTCAGAGGTCCCTTCCAGCTTTAAAGTTTTAATTCTGAGGGAGATTAGAAATATACCGCGAGGAAAGTAGCACTGTGTACTTTTTTTTAGTCTTTATTCTTTCGCCCCCAAATTTGTTTAGTGACATTTGGTAAGTAAATCTATAAATTTTTTAAAGGCAAGAATTAAAGAACAAAAAAAAAAAAATTACAATTAGAACTCTTTAGAGACATTACTTTGGCACCACCTGCTGGCAAGCTTTTGCATTTTTTTCCTGTACATAAACTTTTTACTTCTCCAAAATGATTTTAAGGAAATACCGTCAAAATTATTGACATCTGAATTCACAATCAAGCCAACCTCTGTTAATATTAATGTAGCTGTAACTTTACCACTTAAAGGGCAGATAACCTGCCCTGGGTAACTTCATTTTTATACAAGTCAGTCAATCTTAGAATGTGTTTGAATTCCACACGGTTCTCTCGGTTGAGTCAGTCACTGTTGCATCTTTCACATTAACCTTAGCTGCCTTATGAAGGTCGAGCACTAGACACTTTAGATACGTTATCGTACTTAACCCTCTAACAAGCAAACAGGACTTTGCTAACTGAAACTTTTTCCCCAGGACTCTGAGGACAAACCTTCAAGGATGATTCCCACTAAGTTTACACCAGCCTTATCACTTGCTGGATGGTGAGCTGTAGTGAGTTATTTAAGCTTGGTGACTCTCAGTCTTCTTGTCTATGACCCAAGGAAAATAATAGCCCCCATCCCATTAGACACTGTGAGAATCCAGTGGTTAACAAAGCCTGACAGCCTGCAATTGCTCCCAATTCTCCCTAAATTGCCATCACTGTCGTTATGATAACCCTGGCTTTCTTGTGGGACTACCCATCTTGTCCTGCCAACCCCCAGCCCTTGAAGGCCATGAAAAAAATTCTCTATGTTCTATCTGCTTAGAGTAAGATGGGCTTTAAGAAAAAAAATTAAGCCGTGACCAGAGGCCACACTTTTCTAGGTTTTCTGATATCTCATAGCCTGATGGAGGTACTATCACTTTCTACATAGTTTTCAATATGTTTACCTTAGAAAATTTGGAAAACATTAAAAGGCAGAAGAGAGGTTTTTAAATCTCCTATAGCCCACAGCCCAAAAGTAATCTGGCAGAAGCGTTCGTTGTCCACCCAAATCCGCCCTCTCCTTTCACAGAACTAGAATGGTGGGCATTCATGTAACTACTGACACTTCCCAGCCTAACTGGCAAAAGGTGTGGCCCTGTACGCTTCTGCCAGTGGCAATGCTCAGAAGTGATGTGCACCACTTCCAGGTACAGCCCCCAGACCTCTGAGGCTGCCCTCTCCCTTTGTGCCGGCTGGGTACAGATGACAGGCCCCAGGGGATGGCAGGCCACAAGATGGAAATAACCCTCGGGACTCAAGGGACCACGTGGAGGCAGCAAGTGCTACAGTGAGAAATAAACTTCTTTTTGTCTGAACCTTTTGAAAGGCTGGGATCAAGCTGAGATCCCAGTCTCGCTGAGCACCAACACTGACCAGGGACGCCATTTTGTGGCATTTCCACTCAATCCTGTTTCTACCTTGTGGTCTTTTTAAAAATTATCTTTATTTGAAAATAATTAATTATGAAGTTACCGAAAAGCTGGAGATACAATACAAAGCATTTTTTTCTGAACCATACGAGAATAAGTTGCTATGCCTTGCTTTTACATAGATAAGTACCACATGTGCCCACTGCATCATAGTCCTTGTAATAAGTCTTTTTTATCATAAACTCTTTTGTTAAATGTAACGGCTGTACAGTACCCCCATAAAGTAGCTGGTCAAACCATAATTCACTTAACTATGATACTGTTGACATTTAGCTTGTCTCTAATTTTGCTTCTACTTTAAACAATGCTGTAATAAAACGTTTTTGTGCAGAGACATTACTCTATATTTTGAATTATTTTTTTAAAATATCACCAGAGTTGACATGACTCAAAGGTTATAAATGCATTGTTGAGCTTTTCGCAAAAACAGAATCAATTACAGTACCAACATTACTGAGTATGTGCATTTCATCAGACTCTGAAAGCAAAAAGACTTTACCAATACACAAGAGAGTATAAATTTAGGTTAATTTGACTTTTAGGCTGTTTCCTATCTTCTGTTTTGCATTTCCTTCCATACTGAGGTTGAGCACTTTTCTATGTTTAATGAGCTGTATCTTCTGAGAATTTTGTTTCTCTCCCACGGTCTACATTTTCTGCAGATTTGCATATTCTAGCATGGAGAGGTATTATCAAGAATCAAACATCCAAAATTTTAGAAGCCATTTTTATTAAAACAACAAATATTAAGGCACAAAAATACATCAATTTTTCAAATAAACATCCGTCAAATAGTTATGACCTACAAAGAAACATCTTTCAAATTATAGAATAATTTAACTTTTTAAAATAGAAAAATACAACTTCTTAAGTCCCTAAGATTTCTCCCCAAATAAGTGAATGTTTTTCTAGTTTCTTCATGCAGTATCCAGCTCTGGTGTTATACTGTACACTTCCTTAAAAATCTAGTTTCACCACTTATATACATTCGATATGTTTAGAACCTTAACCAGTATATTAAACTTTCTTATAAGGCTTGGTGTTTCGTATTGCTTATTACACGCTATTGATCATATCAAGACACAAGGACCAGAGCTGGCAATTTACAAATTGAGCACAGCATCTCTCAACTTTAAACGTGTATTTATAGTCTTGCACAGCCTAGTGCCACAGACGCAAATCCCTTTTTCTTAAAAAGAATATATAATTGTATACACACATTGTTTATACTTTCAGTCTTGACAATATAGTGATGTAAACACAATGCTGAAATACAAGGGAAAGTCATATATTTCTATAGGATATGAAAGAGTTAAAAATTATTTTCTTCACAGGAAAAGTATGGGGACATCCTATCATCTCTCTGGCTTAAAATAGTTCACATATTCACCTATTTTTCCTTATTTCGAAAAGAAAGCAAGCATCTATTTAAATGCTAATCTAACTCAAATCATGAAAACTCCCTTTTAAGCAAATTTCACATATCATATAAATCTAACATGAGGTGCGTAATGAGAACACTTAAGTGCTTCATCTAGAAACACATAAAACTGGACCCGTATTCTCAGAACCCCTCATAAATAGGGAGACCCATCCTGGTGGCATCCCAAGAGTAAACTGACCTGAATGCTGCAAAGGCTTTGATGACCAGTTTCTGGAAACTGCATGCAGAAGCAGGAAGAATGAACTGCTCAGTGGCCCTGGGTGTCACTTTTCCCTGGTGTCCTTCCCATGAAGTGCAGCTTGGGCACTAGGGTACCCCTCTTGCATATGTGTATAAGAAGGTCCCCCAATTCAGGTTAAACATCCACAGATGACACAATTATCACTGAAAGTGACAGGCACGGCACATGTTCTTCTAGAAACAATATTTCTGATGAGGCTAAATTAGGAGGGAGTTCTGCTTTCTCTGGATGGAAGAAAAGTTTGCATTATAGCCTGTAGTTGAACTATACTGGTAACATATTTCATCTTTCCAGCAATAGAAAGAAGTGAATGTTTTTGCTTTCTTTTGTTTGAGTCAGGTGTCTCATATCTGTTGCCAGGCTATAGTGCAGTGACATGATCACAGCTCACCTCAGCCTTGACCTCCTGGGCTCAGGTGATCCTTCTACCTCGGCCTCCTGAGTAGCTGAGACTACAGGCATGTACCACTATAACCAGTTTATTTTTAAAATTTTTTTGTAGAGACAAGGTCTCACGAAGTTGTCCAGGCTGGTCTGAGACTCCTGGGCTCAAGCAATCCTCCTGCCTCAGCCTCCCAAAGTGCTGGGAGCCACTGTGCCCGGCCAGATGT